CATAACCAACCCACCCACCCTCCCCCAATGTCCATCACTAACTCCGGTAATTTTGTCATGTCCATTGCACAATATGATGCTGCCTACCCCAGCGAAAGGGACCAAAGTGGGTAAAGTTACTTTTATGACAAAGTCTTTGTATGACCTGGGTCTAGGTTGTGACAAAAGGCAGTAAGTGAATGAGACAAACCAACTGGAGTTGAAGGGTGGGAGGGGATGATGAGAGGAAAAGTAAATCTCTTACAGATTGTGTCCTGCGATGGTTGTGAGACTGCAAGGATGTTGGTTCCATTTCTGAGAGATGCCTGAATGAGAGAGGAAAGAGAAGGTTTTAGTTAATTTACACTTGACCTGCGCTCAGAGGAGCTGAGAATGCCTAGTGTGTCTCTGGGCCTCTCGGTCTCTTTCTGTCATGATGAAAACACAGTTCTGTGTGTTCAGAGTGGGGATGCTGTTATAAATATGAAAGTCTGAAATCTTGTCTCTTTTCTCCTTTCCCCTGCCAGACACTCTGCCGTCTGCACTGGAGACAAACAGAGGGAAACCCCTAGGAGCACACAGACAGGGTGAGATTGCAGGGGAGATGGTCTTTAAATTATGAGAAAATTCCGGTGAATACATGTTCATGGGATTGTAACTAAAGTTACCAACCAAATCAACAGTGGCCATGACACACACAGCCTTAAACATAACCCATTAAACAGCGAGGAGATCCAGGGACACTGGAACATGGGGGACTAGGGGGACAAGCCAACCCACTTTTTAACATGGGCATAGTTTGCGGGCAGGGGGCCATGTTGGAGCCCCAAACTGGAAGCCTTGGGCAGGTTTGGAGCGTCACAGGCAGTGGCTGCGCTTCATGGAAGTGCAGCTGATCAGCTCCCTTTTTAGTGCAGCTTCTTCCTGGTGCTGGCCCCTCTCAGTGGCCCCACCCCTGCTCCTCTTCCCCCTGGACCCTCCACCTGCTCTGGGTGGTGCACACTGGAGAGTGGGGACATGGGAAGGTGGAGGGTCAGGGGCTCTCCACTGTGGCCAAGGCTCCCAGCCTGGCCAGGGGCTGGGCTTCAGCGGGAAGATGAAGAGTGGAGCAGGGCCACAAAGAGGGCAGGGCCACAGGTGATGTGACCTAGTACCCCCCTCCCCAACTTCTACCAAGGTGCCAGAACACCTGGGAACATCCCAAGCTGACATCACACACATAGTCCTGACACCGACCTTAATGCTGAGTTCATGCCCATGCTGCTGAACAGAAACGCTCTCCCTGAGCAGCACCCGAACAGATCTCCCTGCCCTGAGGGCTGACACATCCCTCTGCTTTCACATCCCTCTGCTTTACCCGGTGCAGGGGGTCTCCCTATCACTCTTCTCCAACATCCTGCCTTTCCTCTGGGCAGGGCTGGGCTCTCCCATTGGAGCTGCTCCCTGCTTCCTGGATTGGGGAGATGCTCTTCCTGTGATGCTAGCAGCTCCTCCCTTCTCTCTGGGCTGGGGATGGTGCTACCCCACCCAGTGCCACCTCCTATTCTCTGGTATTAAGTGGCTCTTCCCCAATGCTGCACCTTCCTGTCTGTTCCCAGCCCTGGGAGTGGAGACTGCATTAGAGGAGAGACATTCATTCTGGGGTTCAAAACTGTACCTGCATCCTCTGCTCCCTCCTCACTAAAGCCTTTCTTGGTGTGTCTCTCCTGCTGGGAATGGAGCAGAACCAACAGGGGTAGCTGGGAGCTGAAGCTTATGCAAGCAAATGGGAAACTAATGAAGTGGGTCTCCTTACAGAGACTGAGGAACTGCAGTGACGTCCCTGCTCAGTCTCAGGTGCCCAGGACAGAGGCAGCTCCCTGGGATCCAGGCTTGTTCCAGCCAGGATGGGGCTGCTGGGGAGTGTGGGAAATGGTCGCACCCTCCCCCCCCCCGTCCCCGTCCCCAGGGCTCAGCTCTGCCCCTAATGCTCTTATTCTCTCTCTCCCCAGCGAATGTGACTCTGGATCCAGACACGGCCCATCCCCAACTCGTCCTGTCTGAGGATCAGAAAAGTGTGAGACGGGGAGAGACACGGCAGCGACTGCCCAACAACCCTGAGAGATTTGACTGTTGGGCCTGTGTGCTGGGCTGTGAGGGATTCACCTCGGGGAGACATTGCTGGGAGGTGGAGGTGGGGGGTGGGGGATACTGGGCTGTGGGGGTGGCCAGAGAGTCTGTGAGCAGGAAGGGAAGGATCAGCCTCAGCCCTGAGATGGGGATCTGGGCTGTGCAGCGGTGGGGGGGTAAATTCCGGGCTCTCACCTCCCCTGAGACCCCCCTGCCCCTGAGCCGGGCCCCCAGCAGGATCCGGGTTTGTCTGGACTGTGACCGGGGGCAGGTGACATTTATCAATGCTGGTGACGAGGCCCCGATCTTCACTTTCCCGCCGGGCTCCGTCCCTGGGGAGAGAATCCGACCCTGGCTCTGGGTGTGGGACAGAGACACCTGGCTCCGACTGTGTCCCTGAGACACACAGCCAAGAGTGGAACCAGAAATCAGCCTCTCTGGACTCATGGACCCCAGTCTCTATGACCTTGGAGGACTCCCATCTACCCAGCCCCTGGCTCCTCATCTCTATGATCTGTGGAAGCCCCTCCCCTTCCCTGCAGCCTCAGGAATGGGAGGAAATGGAGGGGGAAGTACCCCTGTGGCTGCAAGAGGGGCAGAGGGGCAGAGGTGGGGGCTGGGCAGGGGGCAAAACTAACAGCCTGGCTGGGGACAGGCAGATGTGTATGTGGCAGGGACACAGCATGACTCAGGGTTTGGCGGGTTGGGGAGAAGCAGCAGCAGGGAGCGGTTTGTACAGATCTGTGGGATTAGCTCTCATGGGGTCTCCCAGCCAGAGCTCCTGCTG